TTGGAAGACCAAACAAAGTAGTTTCGCTTTCACAACGAATCACACAGCGCCTTCACGACATGGCGGCAACAATACTACAGCGAGAATAAAAGTTACGCCTTCTTTCTTTGCGTGAAGATGTGGGAAGAGTTGCATAACGCCGCCCAAATAGTGACGTAGATATGTGGGGGCGTGTTAGAACGATCCGTTTTAGGTAGGCGTGGCTGACTCTTAACTTTTATAAAGAATATCTCTTTGGATTTGAGACTATAGTCTTTGCAACTTTACAGATCTTCTTTATGCACCAAGAGCTTGTAACACTCCAAAGAGAAAGGAAAAATTGAAATTGCATCATATGACCCCTTTAAGAAAAGGAAATGAACTCAATGAACTGCTAAATATTCCTGGAGGGAAAACCATGAGAAAGCATTCCAATGCACACGTGTACTGAGCAAGATTTTTTTTTGTGTTCACATATGTAAAGATAGAAGATATCATTTGGTTTCTTCAAGATTTGTCCCCTTTTTCACCTTCAAGATTTGGAACTTTTATTTTAGATTCCCCAATAATAAACCTCCATAGAAAAAATTTCTGTTCATCCAAAAGTAAAAGGGCCTGAGGGTGGGATTCTGTGGTCTTTTGTGTGCAGTGTGCATCAGATGGTCAGTAAAAGGATTGTGGTGGTCTGTGGGTGTGAGGCTGAGACTAGTCTAAAATCTACATGTCATGTCAACAGCCCACGGTGGCAAAAGCATGCTAATGATACTTAATGATGATGGCGCCACTGGATATAATAGCTTTTTAGGTTCTGCTGAGGCTGTTGGGGAATTTAAATGACTCTGCATTGGTCGTGTTGTTCTGAGGGTAACTTCCAGACCTCCAGAGATTCATTTTGAGCCTGCATTCTGCTCAACAAAGGGCTTTATTTAATTATTGATACACCATTACATTTACTTTCTCTAGTCTAGACAAACAAAAACAGAATCTTCTCACTCTACCAAACAGCCAGTCTGTGCATGAAAGGTGATGCATAAATCTGCAGGGTTAGGCTAGAAGTTTTCAAAAATAATTGATAACATTGATAAATATGCTAGATAGTTCATAATACACTGAATGTCATTGCATTGAATTTCAATGGTTGAATGCCATTCAAAAGTTTGGGGTTGGTTAAATGTTATAATGTTTTTAACAGAAGTACCTTATGCTCACTAAGACTGCATTTATTTGATCAATAATATTGTGAAATATTATTACAGTTTAAAATAACTGCTTTCTATTTGAATATATTGTAAAACGTAATTTATTTTTGTGATGCAAAGCTGAATTTTCAGCATCATTCCTCCAGTCCTCAGTGTCACCTGATCCTTCAGAAATCATTCTAATATGCTGATTTACTGCTCAAGAAACATTTAATATGATTATCAATGTTGTGATTATCAGTGATACATTTTTTCTATATTACATCTATTGTTATTATAAATGTTTTTACTGTCACCTTATTCACCTTGATGAATAACTATTAATTTAATTCCTAAAAGTCTCGCATCTAAGTCAGTCGTTGATTTGTTCCATCTGTGCAGCATATGATTTTATCTAATCAAATAGTCACATCTTTATTGAAAAAACCTAAAATAAATCTCCCTGTAAGATCAATGGATCAAACTCAGATGTCACTTGTAGATAAAATGTAGATAAAAGTTCTATTATGAAGCTGCACGATGAATTGAAAGTTATATATCTTAATCTGAAAATCAAATCAAGTCCGGTGTCATTGTCATTACTTTAAGCAATCGCATTTGACCATATTTAAATCTCTTCTGCAGAATTTACACCTAAAATCAGCACAGAAAATTAAAGAAAAAGTTCCATCTGTGCCAATCCAACATGTTCAAAGAACCGCGTCTGAATATAAATGTGACTTGCAATATTAGCTCCAAAGGAAAGAATGAGAGGATGGAAGGAATGCTGGACAGAAAGGAGAGGAGGCAAGACCTCCACTTTGATCACTGGCCCGTAGGAGCACCCGAATACGGACACGGCTCCACAACTTCCGAGGAATGTGGTTTCAAATGCCTCCTTTGCACCTCCCTGTCTCAACTCCCTCTCCTCTCAGACCCCTGCAGCTGTACAAATAATTCAAAGAAACATTTGATGGCACCGACTATTATATTTCATTCAGATCAAGAGTCTGTCTGACCAACACATAACGTGACCCATCACAGTTTGTTTTGTTTTAACTTCTCTTTTAATGGAATATACTCTTAAAAATAATTCTTCATCGGCATCTGTATGGTTATATGGAGCTAATATTGCATATTGTAATGGACAGAATGACATAGAGCAACACTGCTTTTAAAAGAACTATAATAGACCAAAATTAGGTGCAATTATGGCCTTTAAAGGAATAGTTCACTCAAAAATGAATATTCTCTCACTACTTCACATTCCAAAACTCGTACGTTGTTATGGAAAGGGAATCTTCACACAGCTCTTTTCCTATCAAACGGTGCTCCATCTAAATGTTTTTGCCAACATTATTATTGTTAAATCATATTTCAGTCCAGTCTATTCTGTCTTCTACTATTAGAATTTTGTGGCATTTTTTATGTTTTCAGTGGCATTTTTTTTTACCGTAGTGTGAGTTATGCCACTGAAAATGTTCACAAATTTGAAATTTCAAAATCTAACTCTTTTCTTTATTGGTTTTCAGGGAAAAAATCGATCAGTCTTGTTCTGATTTTACATAAATATGTTATGCATACGTCTAAATGTAACTAAATTTAAGAGCAAGCCATATTTTAACTTTACATATTCACACATTCATACATATTCTAATGTTTGACAAGCAAAAAGTGTTTAAACTGTCTTCGCTTTGAATTGCATATCCATTGTTTTATTACCTCATACAAAGGCTTTTTTTCCTTTCATTGAAACGTATGCTATATTGTTTAAAATAAATGCCACTTGCTTTGACATTCTGTTATCTAATACAATGACGCTCATTCATTTTAAAGTGTGGCTTAAGTGTCTAAATAATTCTGTTTGTCGCTATATTTTGAGAAATACATTTGCTGCTGTTGCTTTAAAATACCGTCACGCTCGACTGTGGTCGTGAATGGGTTACAGTAGCGTCGGCCCGCCCGGAAATGACGCGCCCCAATCACAGCGCTCGGTGTACGACGGAAGCGCGTGACGTCAGCGGACGTCGTGCGGGGATTGGAATGCTACAATGTAACAGTCGCAACTGGACGCTTCAGATTAAAGTGCTGCTGGAATGTAACGTTGTATCATCGGCGTCTCGAATGTAACCGGGAATAGAAAACCGGTTTGTAATGTTTTTACGAGAGGTTCCAAAACAGCAACTGCACGCTTACAAAGACAACCAACCTTTGGAGGATTTTTCAGAGAGAAATATGTGAGAATACACGGATTTGTGGGGATTTATCCGCTCGGGAAGTTTGTGACAGGGTCTTTCTGACTCACACGCACCTCATGAGATCCATTACCGGGATATCTCTCTGGCTGCTCCTGCTGTTTGTGATTTCTCCAGGCTGGTTTATAAGAACTCTTCTCTGAAAGTACTTTCTGATGGTTTTCATTGATCCAGAACAGTCCCGATGGCCAGCAGGGTTCAGGTGTCATCTGTCAGGAGTTTAGATGCTGTCTAATGTGAACCAGAGAGGAGAGAGGTAGATCCATAAAAGGGGGTTAAGGTTAAATCGCCCACATGCTCTGGATTTGGGATTGGAATCACAAGGTGGAAGTTGAGAGCATCACATCCCTGCAGGTCTGTGGAAGATGCTGTCCAGCAGGAGTTGAGACCTTTGGATTCATCAGCAACCAGCTCCATCTGGATCTAAGGACACATGCAGGCCAAAAAACGCTATTTAATTCTGTTCTCTGCAGGTGTGAGCCTCATTCTCCTCTTTTACCTTCAGGAACCAGCTTCCAGAGGGACTCCAAACCGAGGGGATGACCCCCATCCACACTGGCCCCACTTCTCAGACCCCTTACGTGCTTTTATTCCGTGGGATCAGACCGAAACGGAGGACTACAATGTCCGCGCTTCTCCGAGACACAAAAGAGATGACAACTCTGGAGCTTACAAGTGCAGAATGGACTCCTGCTTTGATTTCTCCTTGTGCGGGAGGAACGGCTTCAAAGTCTACGTCTATCCTCAACAGAAAGGTGAGAAGATCTCAGAAAGCTACCAAAACATCTTGTCCTCCATCGAGGGCTCCAGATTCTACACTTCTGACCCGGGACAGGCTTGCCTGTTTGTTTTGAACCTTGACACCCTGGACCGAGACCAGCTGTCTCCTCAGTACGTCCACAACCTCAAAACTAAGATCCAGAACCTGAAGCTGTGGAATAACGGGAGGAACCACCTGATCTTTAACCTGTATTCGGGCACATGGCCGGATTACACAGAGGATTTGGGGTTTGATATCGGACAAGCCATGTTGGCCAAAGCCAGCATCAGCACAGAGAACTTCAGACCCAGTTTTGACATCTCCATCCCCTTGTTCTCTAAAGATCACCCCCGGACTGGAGGTGAAAGGGGGTATTTAAAATACAACACCATCCCTCCTTTTAGGAAGTATGTGCTGGTTTTTAAAGGCAAGCGCTATCTGACTGGGATTGGATCTGATACCAGGAATGCGCTTCATCACATCCATAATGCTGAAGACGTGGTTCTCCTCACCACATGCAAACATGGCAAAGACTGGCAGAAGCATAAAGATGCTCGTTGCGACGAGGACAATGCTGAATATGACAGGTAAGAACAGATGGATTTCTGCTGTAAAAAAAAACTTTATGATAACTCGAACGAGTAAATCCTAAATAGGCCTTATTATTATATTATGTTAAGCAGATCAGTAGATGGCCCCAAAAAGTATTTGCACACTGAGAATTTATGAATGCCATTGGAGTAAATAACAAAATATCAATAGCAAGTCATATTCATTTAAATAAAGATTTTTTAAATTAATTTAATTTGACATTTTTTTTATGACGTCCATTCTATTAAAGATGTATTAAAGATGTTTTAGAGACATATTAAAGAAATTCGTTCTAATAATTATTTCAATTTAATTTTAATTTGATATTTTATGTTTATGTTTTTAAACCAAAACATTTCTCAAAAGACATTCTTTTTGACGTCTGTTCTATTAAAGCTGTACTGAAGATGTTTTAAAGATGTGTTTATGTTTTTGGCCAAACCATTTGGCAAAAGACGTTCTTTTTAGATTGGTCGTGATTAAAACATTAGATATATTGTCCATAATGAAGACAAAGTATTTGAAGACTTTTAAATGTGTAAATGCCATTGCATTAGATAATGAAATATTAAAGAAACTGCAAAAAATAATGCTAAACTTCACTTTTCTGATGTGTTTGCATTGACCTTAAGCAACCGGGGTCATGATGATTTATAGTGGAATAATTATTTTTGTGAACAGTGTGCATGTGTTCTTTCTTTCAAATAAGTGCTGTTTGATTTGATATTTTGTTATCAAATGCAGTGCCAAAATACTTTTGGGGGCCACTGTATATATGAATTATCTCTTAATTATTTTTATTTACTTTAATGATATTTTAAGTGTTACCAAATACCAAAACATATTTGCTGTCTGGAGAAAACACTTTCTGGTGGAGAATACACTGAAAATTGTGTTACATCCTGAAATGCTCATCTTGCACCAGATATCAGTTTGTTTCATGTTGAGCTTGTTTCAAATGATTAAAAACCATTTTTTTTCTAATGCAATGGTTTTTAAACCCTAAGCTGATGCTTATCATAACATATAATTTCCAATTGAAGTGCACATGAAAAAGCTGCTCTGGCTTTAATGTGTTAAGATGTACCATTCGTAGGAAGCAAAAGCTATCAGTGTATATGACATAACCCTTATTGCTTCCGGAATATATACCGCACACAATCAGGATATATCCCAAATGTGTTTGTCAGTACATCTGTGTCATGCTGCTTTATCTGTTTGCATCTGAACTAGGATTGCAATAAACATTATGCTATAATTTTCCCCCTTGATTGTTTTTACGCCCCTTTCATCCGAGTGGCAGGTGTTAAGAAGTCAAACTTTTGCATCCCCTTTACTTCGCTGTTAAACAAACAGTGATCTCCGTCTCTGTTGTGGGTGCCTCGGGCCCCGGCTTCCTGCTGTTCTTTTTGTCCCCGGTGGCTGCGGCGCTCGGTGGGACGGGGACGGGGGGCTCTGAAGGATTAGTAGAAACAATGTCCCTGGTGTCAGTGGGGGGAAAGCAGCCTTCCCTCTCTTTAAACAGCCGTTTCCCAGACACCACTCCATCACCCAGGAATGCCCGTGTCCCGCGTGACCCCTCGTCTCTGGCAGCATGACCTCAGTGTCAACCCGCCTACCGACAGGCTGTTCTGGGTGACTTGAAGAGATACTCACATGCCACTCACACAGTTAACAACATAACCCCACAGAAACATAGCTGTGTGCTCCAGCACACTTAATGAGAAATCGCTGAAATATTATTCACCCTTTGAGTCTGGCGTGGATGGTGGTTGACTGGTATATTTTTTTTAATGGTTTGATGCTGATATCTAGATGGCAGGATGGCTGATAAACACTGAAAAAAAATTGGGGTAGAAATAATTTTCACTCAGAAATTTGACAGAAAATACAAATAAATGGCAGGTAACACATTGAAATAAACATGAAATTTTGAATTAAAATAATTTATTAGTTTAATTAGTCTGCCACCATTTGAAAACAAAATGTTTCTATAATTGTCAAATTTATGTTCACTTTTTGAAGTACATCTTGAAAGCATATAGAGAAAACCAAAAAATGTTAATTTTCATCTAAGTTTTAAAAAGCAATAAACCCCATAAGATCCCAGGTTACAATGATTTTACCATGGGTTAGCAGAGTTTTTTTTAGGTACAATGTGAAGCTGAATGCCTAAAATTACCTTAACTTTGGTGAAATCATTGTAACACATGTCCTTAAATGGCTTGTTGCTTAAGTTTTATGAAGACACCAATGTTCATAAATTGTTATCTTTACAGTACATACTACTATATGTATACATATATATGCAGTAGCAGCTTGATGCATCAGTATATGTTATTGTTTTTGCTTAAAGTGGCGTAGAGACAGTTCTTATTACCCACATGCGTTTTGATTTTGGGTGCAAAAGCAGTAGTGGAAAGGTTTTTTTGTTTTACCATATTTTTATGGTGTTTTTATGATGTTTAATCTAGGACTGTTTAATGCAGAGATGTCATGTTGCAGTAGCAGCTTGATGCATCAATATATGTTATGGTTTTTGCTTAAAGTGGCGTAGAGACAGTTCTTATTACCCACATGCGTTTTGATTTTGGGTCCAAAAGCAGTAGTGGAAAGGTTTTTTTGTTTTACCATATTTTTATGGTGTTTTTATGATGTTTAATCTAGGACTGTTTAATGCAGAGATGTCATGTTGATGATAGTTATACTTGCAAGTTACTCCTAGCTTTGCTTTCAGAATTTGAACTATGATTGTAATCCACACGTACTTGTTTAAAACTATAAATTGTGACATTAATATACTCATATGATCCAAATTCACTTTGATCATGGAGTTGAGATGTAGTAAACTTCTGATTTTAATGCACTTGGTTGCATTGAAGATCTCAGTGTGGACCGTTTTCCTCAAAGTGCCATGTGACAACTTTGAAAATCCATGGCATATTTCCATTGGAGGCGGATGTTCATTCCGTTCTCATTTCCTGTCGTAGCCATGGGCCTTCCCTCTGCTCGCGCTCTACAAGGACGGATGCTGAAGTTGTTGAACATGACCGTTCTTGTGAATGTGAAATGCTGACGGCTGTGGCGCTGAATAATTGATCAGATGTGTTTTATTCATGTTATGTTTTTTTCCCCCACTTGAAAATTTCAGGGTGTTCATGAATTATTCATGAGCACAAAATCAAAATCATCTGCATCACTCCTGTCCAGCATTTCAGATTTGCTCGCAAAAGATTATGAAACAAAATGAATAGCCTGAAATTGACCAAATTGAACTGCATGGATTGTATTGATTTTTGAAGGTATTTTCACGCAATTACTGTGCACATAAGCCTTTAAAAGAATAGTTCACCTAAAAATGAAAATTTGCTGAATATGTACTCACCCTCAGGCCATACAAGATATAAATGAGTTTGTTTCTTTATCAAAACAGATTTGGGGAAATTTAGCATTACATCACTTGCTCACCAATGAATCCTCTGCAGTGAATGGGTGCCGTCAGAATCAGAGTCCAAATGAGAGTTCTGTACCCATAATTCTGTTTTCTCCAGTGAAAAAGTAATCTTGTCTGAATCATGAGAAAAATATGCACAGATCAAACACTGTTTACAAGTGAAAACAATCCAAAACAGCTTTTAGCAAATATGTGAGTGGGCTTTGATGTGAGAGGACAACAGGAGATGGACTTATTTAATAGAGGAAGTGTTATGCATGAAGCGTAACATGCAGCTTTTTGCTTCACAAGATGTTAACTGATGGACTGGAGTGGTGTGGATTACTTGTTGTGATGTTTTTATCAGCTGTTTGGACTCTCATTCTGACGGCACCCATTCACTGCAGAGGATCCACTGGTGAGCAGGTAATGCTACATTTCCCCAAATGCTTAATTTTTCTGATGAAGAAATAAACTCATCTATGTCTCAGCTGGCCTGAGGGTCCATTTCTGGGTGAACTATTCCTTTATAACAATGTTGGATTGCTTGCAACTCAACTCAACTCAAGATTATGATTAAACACTTCCAGAATCACTTGTTGCACTCTTAAAAATAAATGCTTTTTTTTCTAAATTAATGCTATTGAAATATAATATCTGTTACTATGTAGCTTTCTGAAAGTTATCAAATCAGTATCTCTGTTCTACAGAAAAGAATGACTTCCACAGATGTAAGAAACAAAGCACACAAAATTCTTGATGATCTGCCCAGAAGCATCTGTAGTGTGTCCGTTGTCTTGCTCAGGCTGTATGTCTGTTGGACCGCGCACTATAATCTGATTGGTGAGTGCTCGTTTCAAAGGAACTTGGACACTGGCTGATGACAATGCCTGTTAGATTACATAACCTTGGATTTACTCTGGTGCCCTGTTAACACAGCTAATCATCTCAAACCAATCCCAATCCTTTATTAGGTTGCTTCTTAATTGGGGCTCTGAGGAAGTGGCTTATATGCTGTCAGTGACAAAAGAAAATGGCACCGGTCAACCAGTCTGCTGCTTCTTGTTGGTTGGGGCGACTCATTTGTTTCTTGTCTTTTTTAAATTAAAAAACAATTGTAATGCTTTACTTGAAGCATTGAATGCATTGTACAAAGGGTTGTCATGTGTTTTAATGCATTATCTAAAGGTGTAAAAGATCATGTATAACTGTGGTTACAATTATTCCTAAAATCATACAATGGCATTATAAGGTGCATTACAAGGCATAATTAATGCATTAAAGATTAAAGATACTTTTGGAATGCATTATATATAAAGACTTCAAGTAAAGTGTTACAAACATTTTTTGTTTTGTTTTGTTTAAAACTTAAGAATCAATTAGTTGATGGGTTGTCTGAAGTTGATGTTTTGTGAAAAATCCCATTTAAACCGTAATTTGCTTGAAAGAGGATGAATTTAAAAATGCAACTTCTCAAAGTTTTAGCATACTGACAATCCAGCAGTTACTGTTAGCATGCTAAAGTGCAAAATGCCAAACACTTTTTTATTAGCACTTCTGCAT